TTGTGCCTCGTGTTGTTGCTGTGGTTGGCCTCGTTGGCTTCTGTGCTGCATGCTGTGTATCCTCTAGTCCCGTCATTAACATGTATCTCAGTATCTGAATGTGACCGATCATGAATGGCTCTGACTGTGGGCGAACGGCACCGCGACGAACTTCAGGAGTACTGTCAGATGTGTTCGGCGCATCAATGACGGGGGGCATACTTGCAAGTAGCTGACACAATCTACTGCTCGGACATATCAGGAATGACACAAACCGACACAGAGACATCTGAACCCTCCATCTCCTTGGATACCCAGCCTTGAGTAGAGGCAAGGTCCCAGGGCTTCCGATACCACCATGAGCGGGCTGCCAGATCTGCGATGAAGACCGTAAGCTCTCTCAACGGAGCTCCTAAAGCCGCTCGAGTGCTGAGGAACACCTTGACCGTCCGAGAGAACGCAGCGGAAGCGTGAGGGCCGTACGCCTGCCAGCTGTCGGGGTGGTCGGTCTCGACCTCACTGTCGCTCTCCTCGGTGACTCTCTCGAGATCACCGGCGTTCATAGTGGCCAGTGGCCTGCCCTCCCGACGCCATATGGAGTAGTCGTAGAAGGAGCGCCAATAGAAACCCAAGCTCCGGAGGCGAGGGCAAAGATAGCCACCATCCTCCGCTCGATGATTGCACAGAAGTGGCAGAGCATCGAGCCTTCCGTCGACGGCTTCTATTGTGAGACGGGTGAGCTGCGGAAAGTGGGATAGGAGGCGCGACCAGTCCTCGTTCTTCATGCTCCGGCTCTGTACGGCCAGGGAAGTGATTGTCCCGGACGACGCAAATGCGTCGATGACCGCGCCGGCAACGACAAGCCTGTTGTCCCAGCTGTTCCAGACCGCGAGGCGCAACCTGGGAGAGCCGTTGGTCGATGTTTCGAGCTCGATATAATCGGTGGAGTGTTGAATGATAGACAGGCTCTCCGCACATACGATAGCGGGTCCAACCCGAAGTGACTTGGGAAGCGGCCGCAGTAGCACCAAGGGTCCGTCATCTAGAGTCGCGAGAAAGCGGAGCTCGAGGACGGCTGTGGAACGGAACTGGAGGTGAGACAGGAAAGCGTTGATGTGCCATGCGTTGTCTCGTACTTCGAGGCAGCTGAGTAGTTGTAGCCGAATCACTCGCGGAGACGCGCCGGCGGAGTCCCGGGCCTCCGAGGCGTCCACATCATCATCCCTAGGATATGCTTGGGGCAGACATTCGAGGACTCGTAGGGTCTCAATATTTGAGCATTGCTCCAGGGCATCGAGCAAAAGGTCGAGGTTGGGCGACAAACGGTCGATGTCATGACATATGCACCCCGTAAGAGTGAGCTCGCGCAGGAGAGGCGATGCGCACTGGAGACCGAAATGAATCCGGGGGAGAGTGAGGGAGCGGAGGCGAGGAAGGCTGGTGCAGATGAGCCGTGGTCCCCAGCGTGGGGATATCTCGTTGTAGTCCGGTTTCCAATCGTACGTGACGCGTTGCCGAATCGCGAGACATTCTAGTTTGGGTAGCGGCGCTGACAGCAGGCGATCGAGACCATCTGCATCCTTTGCAGCGATTACGATCGTTAAGGCAGAGATCCGCTCACTGTGATGCAGCAGTGCATCTACTACAGACGGCGCGCATCCTCGCCAATTGAGTGAAAACGAGTGGGGTAGGGAGTGATTGAGAGCGAATCTGAGCCGATCAACTTTCCAGCGTGGATCCTCGGTCATGCAAGACCGTGAGCCGAGGAGTTTGACCCAAAACGCGGGGGTCTGTAAGATCAGAGTACGCCATAGACGGCAAACGTACAGAATGGACGGTAGGCGGCGACGTCGACGGATTCGGGGGTCTAGGTCCGGATGCGCGAAAATGTGCATGAGGAGTTCGAATGGCAGCCGGTTGATAGAAGCAGAGGCGTTGTTTGCGGCGCGGAGACCGCGTATTCGCGCTTTGTACTCGATCTTCCGCGATGTACACCATGGATGGACCTCGCACATGTCCAGCTCGGATAGCGCTATCGTATCTTCCACCGCGAGGTGCTGCCGGGAATCCAGACGGCGGAACGGGACGGAAGGGTTGCTTGCGGCATGGAGGGCACGAATGCGCGTCTTGTATTCATGGATCCGAAGGGTGCACCATTGATATACTTCGGAAACGTGTAGAGAGCGTAACGCATCTGCATCTTCCCCTGCAAGCTGCTGGTCTAATGCGATATGGAACGTTTTCGAGATAATCGATGACGACATTTCGCCCTACAATATATAGTGTGCCAAGGTCGTTCATGTCGATGAAGAGAGCAACGTGCCATACCAGGGGGCGATGGAGACGAAGGGCGGCGTAGGAGGTGCCCGTGGCGGTCTCTTGTTAAGGTCCTGCGGTCGTGTCATGAGACGGCCGTGAGGTAGCAGGGGCTTTTACGGCATTCTATTCGGCTCATCACGAAGATCTTGAGAAGGCGCTCCCGCACATTCTCCCTGGTTGGTACTCGAGAATACGACGGCTTGGACAATTATACACTCAGAATCTTGTGCAACCTCTACATCATACCTGTTCAATACACCTGCGTCGGCAGTTAAAAATGAGCAGTTAACACACCACACACCGAGATCGAAGTAACACGCACGTGCCAGAGAGCGGTACGACTCAGCGTACAAAGGAATCGATCTATGTAGTGCTGACATTCAAAACGACCATAAAAATTAAAAGCGACAGTGAATAGACTGTGAACACGACACGCAGCGCAGATCCAGAGCCACCGCCAATCCAATCAGACCCATCCCCCCAAAGAACACTGAGAACTCTCAGCCCTCAGCCATACAAGTACTCCAGCACACCTACAAACACAGCCGCCATCAGCGAACCCGTCACCACACGCACGCCCGGCACCGCCGGGCCCGCTCCGCTGAACACGCGCTGCGAACCTTCCGTCATCACCGGCGGCACGGTCCCCACCGTCATCGACATCGTGTGCATCGCGATCGGCGTCGCGTACGGCGCAGGCTCAGACGTCGCTGTGCACCCCGAAGAACAGACAAAACACATTGCTGTCAGCCATGGACGGAGAGAGAGGGAGAGACAACGTACAGGGAAAGATCCCGCCGTTCTTCACAGCGGATGCGACCGCCTCTTGAAGTGCGGAGCCCGCATCCGACGGGACAGTCGACAGCAGACCCACACGAGGCGGGTCCTGCGACGGGCGCGTCAGGTTTCCGTAGTAGAATGCCACCATTGCCCTGCAGCGGCGAATCAGCAATGCGCGTCGCACTCTCCAGCAGCGACAAGCTCACGATTTCAGGAACGGGTCCCCCAAGCTCCAGCTATACAAGAACCCGCCGTCCCCGGGTGGATCTGTCGCGGCAAGAACTGGAGTGCAGCGCGCAAGCTCGCTGGGGTAGGCCATACCAGGAATGACTGGCGCAGGACGCGCAAAGTCGCGCGGGTCGACGGGGAAGGGCATGCCGCCGATTATGAAGGTGAGGTTATACGGGCGAGAGCAGTCGAATGATTCTCCGACTAGGGAGAGGATGTGTGTGACGATGTCGAGTGGGCCGCGGATGAGCGAGTTCCCCTGATTACGGTCAGTCAGCACGATTAAAGGGGACAGCGAGAGGCACGTACTGTATCTAGCAATGCAGAGAGCGAGATTGTCGGAGGAGATAGCATCGAGCGAGGCAGCTTCACCCCGTCAAAGTAGACGTCGTCGAGAGGAATCTCCCATACGAGGGGATAGACCTGCTCAACAGGTTTCAGTCGAGTGCAAGGTTGAGACCTATATGCGGCGCACCTCGTCCGGAGCGTCCGGTGGAGGCGGGAGACCGCCTTCGAGCGGCGTGTAGCCACGCACGGGAACCCACGTCAGCTGCTCATCGACCAGTCCAAACGGGAGCGCGCCCAGCGAGAGTGTACCGGCGTTGTCGCTCAGAGTCACCGTGTCTCGTTGGAGAGTCGTCACCACCAGCGGGCGTGAGAGTAGACCCCAAGTCACCAGTCTAGAGAACAGTGGGCCGATCGTGGCGAACGTGTCCGTAGCGGATGCGAAGTAGTCTGGGTGCTGCTGGCGTTTGCGAGAGCCAGAGGTATAGTTGAACGTGTCCAGAGCGGGCAGGTAGTGTGGGCGGTTGGCGGACTCGTGAGCAGCACGTCGGAGTAGCCGAGGCATAGGCCCATAGAACTCTGTCGCCAGAAGCTGCCGCCATATCGCGCTGATGGGCGGGAATCCGAGTCCGAGGATACCAGCACATCCGGCCTCCAAAACGGTCGTGTCGGTGTCGACTATGGCAGCAAAGAACTGATTGGGAACAGACAGACCAGCGACGCCGACAGTATCTGAGCCGATGGGCCCGAGCGCGTGTGTACCGGTGTGGGAGTCGCCGTAGAGGAGCTGGACGTCTTGACCTGTCGGCACGAGAGACGCTTCAGGGTAGAGAGGCACACCTGGGTGTGCACACGACGGCCGCTCGCATGCGTCCGTGACGACCCAGAGATCCGACGAGCCAGTATCTTCGCGGCTTCAGGTGCGATTGAAATGTCGAGCAAGTATGGCACGTACCCATGATCACCGGTGTGAGGGTCTTCCCGACTTCGACGAGAACAGTATAGGTACTGTCGAACGGTCGAGACGAGTATACGGTGTAGACAGCAGTAGACTCACACGTCGAGCACATCGCCAAGACCTGCGTCCACTGTTTGCCCATCCCGTTTCCTGAGTCGCCTTGTACGCTGGATGGGGAGATGCACACCGTCTGCGCCACGGTTCGAGCGGGTCGCACCAAACGCAGAAAGCGCGAAGGTGAGCGCCACGAGCGAGTGCCTCATGAGAGATACGCCACCACCGTGCGCAGAGCCAGGGAAGAGATCAACCCTGTTCGACGATAGCGTTGAACGTGGTTGGGACAAGACAGAGATGGATGTGTGGACAGTCACGGTGGATTTTGACTTTAGGCTTTCAGCACCCTCGATACAGACGGCCATTGTATATCTACGCGAGGAGAATGACGACTATCTGCCCCGTGGCTGAGTTGGTTACAGCGTCCGACTGTTAAGGTGGTCTTTGGCCCCTCAACGTAATCGGAAGGTCGTGAGTTCGAGCCTCACCGGGGCAGGGAGTGGAATTCCAGCGGTCTTTTTGTGGGGAGTGGCACCATGGAAGTCACATCATTATGTCATCATATACCAGCTTCTGCTCTAGGGCCAGAGTTACTTATCCAGTATTGTGACCCCAGACAACCTTTTTAAGAATCCTACTTAATCCGACTGTGACTGGTCACTGCGTCACTTCCTAATGTTTTCCTCCTCCAAGCGACCACGAACTTCAGACACGAACTTCAGAAGTTCGAACCACTTGATACCCCCATCTCCTCTTGTCTTTCTTGGACATGGCCCGCGGTCACAGGTCCACATCTCCTTCGCATAGCGACGACGACACCCCCGAGGCCGTCTCGTTTGGGTCCTCCAAGAAAGTCGCAAAAGGCGAGCGTCACGCAGTCGAGCAGTTCCACGCGGCGCAAAAGCAGAAGCGAAAGGAAAAGAACCGAGCTACCGACCAAGCATTGAAGCAGCGCGCTGCACAGGCGAAAGTCAAGGACACGGCCGATGGAGTTGGGCAGGACGCCGCGCGTCGGAGAAGGAAGGCGGAGTCGCTCGCAGAAGAGGAGAGCGAAGGCGAGGACTTTGGCGACAGCGCGCCTGGTGGCCCAAGCAGGAGGGAGCTGGAGGAGAGGATGGCGCGTGCGATGATGGAGGCCGAGGATGAAGAAGATGACGAGGATGGCTCGGGATTGTCGGATGAAGACGTAGCGATGGAGGCAGAGGATGGGGACGAAGAAGACGGCGACAACTACCCAGAGGATGATGATGAAGACGAGGAAATGGACTCGGGAGAGGATGAAGACGAAGATGAGGTTGAGGAAGACGACCTCCTCGAACCTCCTCGGCAAAAGCAGAATTATCTCCCAGATTATCTCTTCAAGTCTGCCTTGTCGAGCTCTTCCCGTCCCTCGAAAATCGTCTTCAACCACACCACGCCTCCCGCCTCAACTACCTCTCCACAGCGAAGACGCAAACGCGCCAAACGACCTTCCAAAGACATCGTTGTCGGGTAAGTCGTCTGTACTACATGTACGCGATCGGTGTAGTCCTCACAATCTCACTGTAGGTCCCGCGTCATACGCACACTGGCAAAGCCTAGCGCCGTCACATCTTCAGTTGTTGCCAAAGCAATGGTACCTCCCCGACGCGTGGAGAGATTCATGAAGACTAGCCTCAACCTCAAAGGGGACCTGTCGAAGTCGAGGTCAAAAGGGTGGACAAGGAGACCAGGTCCGTCTTGCGAGCAACATGCACATGCGCATTCTGAACTCATTCGCATCCATGCTGTAGCCAATCTCGGAGTCATGAAGAGAAGTGGCCCTGCAGCGAATTTCGTACGCAACGAGTAGTTCATTCCTTGTTGTCAGTGCTCCGGCGTATACTACACTCTCATAGCGCGTACATTTTGGCAGCGGTCATCTTCAGGTCGTTCTCAGGGGAAGGATAACTTGTTAGCTCTCGCCGCTATCTCTGCAAAGTAGATCGCTGTCTCGGCCAAGATGACGAGCCGTCCGTTCCCGGCGAAGACCAAATTTGCAGCAACGCCTCCGACGAAGAATTTGCCGATGAGCGTCCCTTCAGGGTTCCAGACCTGCACGCTCATGGTTAGCATTCGCGCACGGGAGGTTCGGTGAGTCACTTACTTGGGCGCCGTCTCCGCATCCCGCATATACATTGCCTGCTGCGTCAAGCTGTATGCCGTCCGCGATGCCCGTGTCGACATACGCGAACACCCGCCGGTTCTTGAATGCTTTCGACTTCTGGTCGACGTCAAACTCATATCTGGCACAAGCACATCAGTACGCGCTGAGCAGCCGCGGGCGAAGTGCTCACATCGTCGCTGGTTCGGTCTGGTTGTTGCCGAGAAAGCCAGCGTTTGCACCCGTGTCAGTGCTGCACACACCGTCAGCTTCGCAAGTGAGACCCGAGAGGGGCTTCGCGAATTCCGTACACGTATGCCGTCTTTCCGTTCGGACTGAACGCAAGCCCGTTGCAGCGATCAAACCCGTCCGCCACGACGCGTACGGAGCCCGTGTCGGGGTCGAACATGTACACCTGGTTCGGAAGCAATGGCAGAGGGCGGAAGTGGTTCAAGAATCCATATCTGGAAGAAGGGTGAGCGGGATCACGAGAGCCGTATTGATTTGAGGGCTCACGTCACATCCGTGAAGAACAGCTTGTTCGTTCCAGGAAAGATCTTCACATCATTGAGCGAGTTGAACTGCCGCCCGAAGAAGTTGTCCAGCAGGACCGTGGTGTTGTGAGGGGGCGCGGGATTCACGAGGGCGAGGGACGGGGGAATGGGGCCCCGACCGGAGTTCACCAGGATCAGTTGCCCGAAGAACGGGCCCGTTCCCCCGTTCGTCATTTGGACCGACTCCGAGAGGTCAATCTGTGATTCGTGCGCACACCGATCAACAACCATGCATCGCCCTCGGTCTGTGACTGAATCGCACTTTCGTTACCGTGACATTCACTGGCGCGATGCCCTGTCCTGAAGCTCGGATGGCAGTGGCGACTTCCTTCAAGCTGATCTTCGCCACCTGGTTGTTATGGTCGATGTCGCTCATCCCGAGCGCGCCGCCGTCGTTGCTCGAGAAGAACACTTCGTCGGTATTCGCGACCCAAATCGGCGCCTCGTGGGCGAACGCAAACGTCGCGTTCGCCGCGACGGCGCGGATAGTCGCCCTCGGCCCCAGGATCTTCAGGAAGTCAGGATGGAACACCTGGAAGAACGGCGGGCTCGAGTTGGTCGGGTTGAAGAACTCCTCCGTCGCGGATGTGCGAAAGGATCCGTTGATGCCGAGCACATTGAATGCGAGCGGATCGACGAGCTGTGCACACAGTGCCGCAGTCGAGACCACACCGGGTGCGGTGCAATCAAGTGTATATGGTGAGCATGATGCGCTGCACCGCTTCGGGCGACAGACGGATGACACTCACCACAGCTTGCGGCGGGAGCGCTGATGCGTTCGCCACTCCAGTTTGAAACGAGGACGGCGTCGCTGCATACGCCCACGCGACCAAACTGGCGACGATGGCGGCGATACCTGAAGCTGCGACCATCTTCCTACGGGGAACGCCTTGAGGCCTCGCTGCTCGACCGCCTCGAGCATCTCCGGTGGGTTTTTGTATGTGCTGCGCTGGGCGGGTGTGCCGTCATCGTACCGCTGAAGCCACTTCGATATTGAAGGGAAGAGACCCACGACGGTGCCTTTTGGGTCTCATGACTGTGCTGGGAGGGCTTCTGGACGACATATTCTTGCACCAGGTCGCGCGGGTTGGCGAGCAAGAGAGATCGCCTGTAGGGCGGGCGGTCGGGTACAGACACACGCGAAGGATCCGGCGCGTTAGAACCTCAGCATCGCCCAGGGGTATGCGCGGGACTTCGAGTCTAAATGAACGATGTTGACTATGCTCACCTCCAAACTACAGGACTTGACTTTTTTGGAGAAGTCCACATCGAAGCGCTTACGATGATGATCCCGCGGGGGTCTAACATGTCAGTTCCAGCGCCGACTAGGCCGCCACTGTCACAGCTCTCCTCCCGAACGACCGACTGTGCAACATCGAATGCGATCAAACCTGTAAGAGGTGCGTTGAAGGGGACGGCCCGATAAGGCATCACCCAGAGTGCGGACGTAATGGGCATGTGAACCCGATGGGAACGAGATCGCCTTCCCGGTGATGGACGGTCCGCCAGAGGTCGCGAAACAATAGACGGTGCGTCCGTCTTCCCCGATGAATCTAGCCAGCTTTGTGGTCTCTTTTGTTGTCCCATCTCAGGATGCACCCATCCATCACACATGCGCTCCCAGACAAAAGACGATGGTGCACGAGTCCGAGCGGCGACGAGCGAGAATCACTCATAACTCGATCGAGCAGCCTGACGATGATTCCAACGTCCATCACCGACTTTCACCCCGGCGCGACGTTCACCACCTTCTCTCGATTTCACCGACGTCGTCGTCGCCATGTCTATGTCACTCACCGCTACCGCTACTGTTGCCTCGCAACGTGCGCCGAGTCGACCAGCGGGCGACTTGCAATATAAACAACTAACACTCCGTTTGGACGCTTCCTCACAATGCACCCAAGTCTCTACGCGGAGGAGCGGGATGGCGCACAGTACACCTATTGCACAGCTCCCAGTCGAGCTGCTCTCCTACATCTTCGTCCTAGGCGCGCATACCCCAGACCCAGATCGGACATCAGAGGATGGGTACGGATCGGAGCAGGAGAACAGCGACGACATCTCGCCATGTCTCGCTTCTTCTGCTACATCCCCTGACGTCTTCGCGGCGGTCAACCGACACTGGCGCGAAGTCGCGATCGCGACTCCTCAATTGTGGACGAGGATATGTGTCACCATTGGGGACGTCATGCGAAGGGGGCCGCCGTTCTCCGCCGTCTCGCGGTACGTCTCGCGCTCCGGGAGGTGTCCTCTAGACATCTTCATTGACGGCCGCGATCCCGAATGGGACTTCTCCGAGACCGAGTGAGTGTCGTTCTGCGTCAGCGCGGGCCGCGGGACATTGACTAACGCTTGTGTACGCAGTTCCGTCGGGGCGGTCATCAGTCCTTACATCGACGACCTGTACGACTACACCCACCCGTTCAGGGTCGAGCACATGCACCATGTGCTGAACATCCTCCTTCCCCATGTCCGCCGCTTCCGCTCCCTCGCGATCCTCACCGACAGATGGGCGCCAATGCACACTGCGCTAGACTGCTTGAGCATGGAGATGCCCTCGTTTGTCTCCGCCCCGCAGCCACTACCATCGAGTTTGCCACTACTCGAGACGCTCGTCCTGATGAGGTGCAACGAATTCGTCAGCTACCACGCCGAGTTCAGCCCTACAGACAGAAAGGATCCGGCGTACCTTCCATTCAGCGCCCTCCTTCCCATCGGTGCCCCTGAGGACCGCGAACCCGTGCTTCCGCATCTGAAGAAACTGCAACTGTCGGGCGTACACCTGCAGTGGCCGTCCCTCCCACGTCTCCTGCCCACCCA